CCGCGACCGTCCTCAAATAGCTCGACGTACCGTTGACGACGACCTCTTGCAAGGTCCTTCGACAGTGGGCTCAGCGGCTCTGTCCATTGGTCCTCAGTCTCATCCACCGAGTCCTGCAAACACACGCGGCGACCGTCAGGAGCGTGCATGGATGTGGTCTGGGCACCGTCATGACTCTTCGGCAGATACCGAACAGCTTCGTCGTCATCGCCGTCCACTCCATTGTCTTCGTCGCTGGACTCGACCAACCAGACGTTGCTAGAAGCGCCGCGCAAAGAGCGGCCCTGCTGATGCAAAAAAGCCTGCGTGAGACAGGGGGGAAACTTTAGATCTCAGCTTGAAAACAGCATAAAACAGGACATACCTAGGCAAAGCAACCCAGCGTACATTGTGTCCAAGACTCTCTTCATCTTTTTGGTCCACGGAGAGTCCAAAGTACTCAGCGGGCTTGGAGGACGCGACGCCACCGCGTGGTCACAGTAGCAGCGAAGAGTCTTGGGGCTGGGTAACGGAGAATCCTGGGATTGATTGGTCTTCACAAAGATGATTGACTTCACTTCACACAAAGCCATCGAAAGCTGAGCACAAAGGTAAGTCAAACGCCAAGATAAACTAGAGATGGAACCTTCAAGAACCGAGTCGATCGACCGACATACATGACCTTCCCAATTTTTTAATATCCAAATCTTCGCTGACAAGAAAAAAGACACAATACGCAGCCCAGAGACACCACCCAAGTCGCTGGACCGCAGGCGCTTTGTGGCTGGGCTGCGCGCCGTCAAATCTGCTGCCGACATCACAGCCCACTGCCGCTGGCCACTCAAACGGGAAGAGAAGACAAGCAAAGCTGCTGTCAAGAATTTCAAGCCCACACACCGATGAAGACACTCCTTCCACACAGAGTTCCACGCAGTTGCTAGAGTTTCTGAAAAGTGATGTAACGCTTCAAAGTCCAAAGGCCACCTATCTTCGTCAAGCACGGCGTGCACAACGAATCGCGAAATCTCGTCAGTGCACCGAGATCCGATGTCCAAGACAGAATCTAGATACCAACAATCCACTGCGAAGAATGCCTGTAGGGGAGCTGGCCAGCAAAACTTATCCAGTGTGGAGTCAAAGTGGAACGCTAGGCGGAGTAAGAGTACAAAACTCAAGGAGAGCAGGGCCCGAAAGTCTAAATGCCTCATG